AAATAAAATGTTCAGAGAGTACACGGGATCCAACGGATCACGATCCAAAGGGATCAGAGGATAACTCATGGCTTCCTAGAAAAAACAAAACACGAATGGGGCAGACATAACAGCCGCAATAACAAGCGGAAAAAGCTGTTACCGCCAACAAATAATAGGTTCCTCCTAAATACTAAAAACTAGCCACCGCAAATGCCTAACTAGGAAAATAAAATGAAAAGAAAAAGGAAAAGGATAGAAGACTAGAGTTCAGATGGAGGAGAATTCCGCCACACTTTAACTGCATTATCCACTATGATTTTCTCCGGCGTCCAAATCTCTTGGAAGATCCAAAGGTTACGGGTCTTCCACAGTTGCCATAGTATATACGTAGAGAGCTGAATCCTCTCATCAATGGCTTTGTCTAATTTTATAAGGCAGATATCAGTCCACAAGTGCTTGAAGTTGTCTTTTGGCTCTACTGGTCCCTCCCACTGAACTGGTGATAGCCTCCACACTGTCTTTGCTCTTGGGCATAGAAATAGGATGTGCTCAGTTGTTTCTGGTTCTTGACCACAGAGCATGCAAATAGTGTCATTTTTTAGGCCTCTACTGTGAAGATTTGTGGCCACTGGGAGAGTGCCATTATAGCATTTCCATAAGAAGTGTTTAATTTTTCCTTTGTTTTTGAGCTTCCAGCTTCTGGTTCTCATTTTTCTTGTGTTTATGGCATTTGATCTTCCTTCTGGGATATCAAGCTGGAGCAGTTTGTTAGAAATCAAATGAGCATAAGAGGAAGCAACTGTAAAAACCTGTTTGGTGTTAAAGGACCAAGTTGCTTTATCTTTTAAGTGCCTCATCAGAGTTTTAATTTGCAGGATTGCTGCACATTCTGATGGTGAAAAGTATCTTCTGAGAAGCTCTTCATTCCAGGAAACACCATCCTCAGCAATGAGTTCAGAGACCCATGTTAAACTTGGAGCATTTTGGGTTCTTTGTAGTAGTCTCTGGTTTGGTAGATTGGGAACCCTTGGATGCTCCCAGATTCTGGTTTTTTTACCATCTCTCACCTGCATTAAGAAGCCAGTAAGGAAGATTTTTGAACTTTCAACCATAATCTTCATAGCCATGATGCATTTTGAGTAGGCTTAGTCCCAAAAAAATCACCAGAAGGAAAGTATCTGTTCCTTAGTACTTTGCTCATGAGGAGTTCTGGTTTGGTAAGCAGCCTCCAGAGCTGTTTCAGAATCAAAGATGTATTAAATGTTTGAAGATCATGAAAATTCAGACCTACTGCTGCTTTGGGGAGAGTTAGCAGATGCCATGCTTTCCAATGTATGCCATTGCTAGATGTAGATTGAGAGCACCACCAAAAATTTGCAAAAAGCTGAGATATTTCCTTGCATAGGCCCACAGGTAAGAGAAAACATGACATAATGAAAGTAGGAAGAGCACTGAGCACAGATTTCAGAAGTATTTCCTTACCTGCTCCTGATAGGAATTTGTTTTTCCAACTCAACAATTTGCTTTAGACAGCATCCACCACATACTTAAAGGTTTCCCCTTTTGATCTTCCAATGCCCAATGGCAACCCAAGATATCTGGTTGAGTGGTGTATGGTGATGCCCTGTAAGATGTGGCATATACTTCTTTGGGTATTTTCAGGTGTGTTTTTACTGAAAAACACTGAGGACTTCTCCAGATTGACTTGTTGACCTGTAAATCTCTTATATTTCTCCAGCATAGATAAAATAAGATTAGCAAATTCAACAGTGGCTTGACAAAACAAAAGAGAGTCATCAGCAAAGAAAAGGTGGCTGAGAGTAGGCCTTTGCTTTGAAATTTTAAGCCCTTTGTATGCTCCAGTTGATAGCTCATGCTGGATTAAACAAGATAGGCTCTCTGATACCAAGAGGAATAGGTAGGGGAAAATGGGATCCCCTTGCCTAATTCCCCTTGAAGGCAGAATGTAACCAGCAGGTTGGCCATTAAGTTTGAAAGAGAAAGAAGAATACTTCACACAGGCCATTATCCACTTAATAAAGTTCATGTGAAAACCCATTTTTTTCATAATTTTACTGATGCTGACCCATTCAATTCTGTCAAAAGCCTTTGACATATCAAGCTTCAGTGCCATGTATTTTTTGGGTCCATTTCTATGCCTGTTCAGGAAATGAAAGACTTCTTGTGCAATAATAACATTATCAAGCAACTGTCTATCAGGAATGAATGCAGCTTGAGTATTGCTAATGCAGAAAGACAGGCATAGCTTTAACCTATCAACAAGAATCTTAGAAATGACTTTGTATGTAACCTCACACAAACTTATTGGCCTATAGTCCCCCACAGTAATAGGAGTTTGGCATTTGGGGATTAGAGTGATAAGTGTGAGATTCCAATTTTTGAGCATATGACAAGTGTTGAAAAAAGAGAGAACAACTTTGCATAAATCTTCTTTAATGACACCCCAGAAAGATTGAAAGAAAGCAGGCGTCATACCATCCCATTCAGGTGCTTTGTCAGGGTGCATGCTGAAAAGTGCATTCTTGATCTCTGCCTCAGTCACTTGTGCCACTAGAGAGGTATTTTGCTCTTCAGTAATGGTGGAGGGAATATAGCTGAGGAGATTGCCAATATTAACAGAGCCTTCTGAGGAGAATAAATTCTGGTCAAATTCTGTGAGGTAGGCAGTTATGTCTTCTCCTGTGGTGCAGATTGATCGATTTTCTTTGATAAGTCTGGAAATAGTATTCTGCTTCCTTCTTTGAAGTGTGAATGCGTGGCAGAATTTCGTATTCTTGTCGCCTTCTTTAAGCCATAACACCCTGGATTTTTGCTTACAAAACAACTCTTCAGATTTATAAGCCCCATCGAACTGTTGCTTAAGCATATTCCACCTTTCCCAGTTTCTAGCACCACCCTGTTCTCTCAGCCCCTTCATTTCAGCAGTGAGTCTCTCAATATCTTTGGCAGCTTCTGTTTTGAAAGTTCTGCTCCATTTTAATAAAGCTAATCTGGTGGCTTTTATTTTCTGAGTGAGGTTGTACATTGGGGAGCCATTGGTTGGTTGATCCCAAGCCTTTTGAATTTCCTCTTTGATACCTGGCTTTTTAAGCCATCTTTTGTCAAAGCGGAAGGATCTTTTCCTGGCCTGTTGTGGGTTGTCAATGTGGAGAAAGAGTAGGTTGTGATCAGAAGCACTTTTGAAGATATTAAGGACTTTAGCTTCTGGGTGTGTTGCAAGCCATTGGAGAGAGGTCACCATCCTGTCTAGCTTTTCTTCAATATATCCCTCTGCAGGTCTGTTATTGCCCCAGGTGAATGGATAGCCTTCCATGTACATTTCTTACCCTCCTAAATCTGCCAGGCAGGATCTAAAACCCCAGAAACTTGCTTCAGATCTCCATCTCCCTCCATTCTTTTCATTTTGACATAAGATGTCATTCCAATCCCCTGCAATCACCCACTTGTCACCCCATTTGGCTTTAGCATAGCTTAGATATTGCCACTGATCACATCTAATTGTCCTGCAGGGACTTAGATAAACAAAAATAAGCCAGAATTTATCATTATTATTGATAAGGCTAAATTCTATTTCAATGCAAAATGGATTACATATAATCTGGTGGGTGATCACTTCTTTGTTCCAAAAGACTAATAATCCACCCCCTTTGTTAACTGGATCAGAAACAACCCATCTATCTTCTACACCCAAATTCCTACATACAATATTAATAAAGCATCTTGATTTTCTAGTTTCACAAACAAAAGCAAAATTTGGGTGGTGGTATCTCCATGATTCCTTGAGTTGGGGAACTGTAGAGGGCCCATCCAAACCTCTACAGTTCCACACCATGGCTGTCATTTATCCAGGTGGGGCCACTTCAGGCTGGCTACCTCTACCTGTACCTCATTCAGTTTTTGCTTTTTCTAAGGGCTGTATGTGCTATCTGGTTGTGTTGATGTGTTGGGGAGTTCACAGCTTATCTTCCTGCTTCTCTTTCCACTGTCTTGAGGAGCTGAAAAATCATCAAGTGTTTGTGGACTTGCACCAGCATCTTTTGTCTGCTTCTTAGTCCATTTTCTCTTTTGCTCATTGGGTTTTGTTTGTTTCTCCTCCACTGTGGGTTGTTGAGGTGCATACAACGAGAAATCCATGATTTGTTCCTTTCCTGTTGGAGAATCATTGTTGTGGAATTGGAGCAGAAGAATGTTATTTTGTGGCATGCTGACATTTGCTTCATTGACAATTGGTGATTGCCCTACAGTGCTTTGAACCAAGGCATTGTTTAGAGAGCTTCCTGTCTCGTTGTTTTGAATGTTTGAATTGTTGGTGCCAATTGCTTGCTGATTGCCTGATGCAGAATTGCTTTGTGGATTACTTGCGTCTTGGGGTGTGGACACTGTATCAATAGGTCTGTTTGATCTTGGCGAAGGGATTCCTTCTGTAGCTTTTAGCCATTCCCCATATTGGTCTTCTAAAAGGGTGCCTTGAGCAATATCATCCAATCTTGAATTGCAGGTTCTATCAAGGTGTCCAATTCTACCGCAGTAGTAGCATAATTAATCAATTTCTCATACTTGAATTCAATTCTTCTGATTTTATCCCCCAGTTTGATACTAATGCACCGAAGCAACGGTTCACTCAGATCAATTGTGACCAGAAGACGCAGATATCGACCACAGTTACCCGTACCCGTGCTTATAGTCACATTTTTAACTTGTTTCAATGATCTGCCTATTTTTAAGCCCACTTCAGAGCAAAGCCAATTGAGAGAAATATTGCTAACTTGAACCCATATATCCATCTCCTTGAAGCAATCGTGGTTAGCATTCATATCTTCTTGCCACTCCTTTAGGATGATGTATTGGTTTTCAAAAGACCAATTTTTTCCAGCTGCTACTTTGTTCTTTTCAGCTTCTGAGTCGAAGATAAATTGGAAGAAGCTCGGCTCAATTTCTCTAACCGTGAGTGGATTCTTGAGTTGCCAGATCTGCATCATTGTTTTCTTGAGTCCAAAGAGGTGAGCTTTTCGATCGCCGACGATTTTTCCAAAAAGACTGCGCTTGCATTCATCTACACTGATTCGTATATCTGAAAGCTCTAAATTGGTGATGTTCTCTTCTTTTTGGGATAGAGAGATTTTTTGGAGACGATTCGATATATCCTCTTGCATCGCGACGAGCAGTCTGATGGAAATGTGAATAATAGGGTGACAAAGAAGGTGAGAATAGGATTTGTGAGATGCGGATTTGTGAGGTGCGAGTGAGATAGATCGAAATCTGCAACCAGAAGCCGGTGATGAAAGAAAACTTCCAGAAGAAAGAAAACCCTAACCGGAAACCGGTAATTTAATCATTAAGGTGCCATCTTGGTCATACAGTCATTTGCAAGAATGTAGAGGGACGTTCAGATTGCATTTTACTAGAAAAATAAAAAAAACTGTAGACTGCCAAGTCCAAAAACATGTACCAGTTACAAAAACATATTTTACCCATTTATTAATCTCAACTATATTTATAGCAAATGAAAAGAACATGAAATTAATTTTAGTTGGCTTCAGTTGCGACTAGACGTGGTCAACAGTCGGGCTAGTTCAAGGCCCGGCCAGCCACCTCAAATGTTGAGCCGGTAACCGCGCTGTGACCGACAGGTTTTCAGTCGGTTCCGGCATCGATGACAAATAAAACGAAGGGTCAGGGAAAAACATGTGCATAAATGCTATTGACAGATAAAACGGATATAACAATATTGTTTAACCATTTCGAAAAGAAATCTTGAGTTTGAAAAACATGTGTCCAATCTTCGGGAGAATCGTTTCATTGTGGTTTCCATTATCGGATACAACTCATCATCAACCGCAGTTTCATTTGCGCGTGAACCGTGACCGGAACAACAATTTAGCTCTCAGAATCCTCGCCTCTGATTTTCGCTCCAGCACACTTTAAAAGTTGACCAGGTAATCAAACCAGTAACATTAATGGTTAAACAATATTGTTATGTATGTTTCATCTGCTAATATTTTGTTCCATCAGGTACGTGCACTGAAACTTCGAAAACCTTGATTGTTGTACACCAATTGTTCGAAACAACTACACTACCATCACAGCGTCTCGAGCCACACACAAGCTTCAAGATCCTGATCAATTTCAAATATGATCTTCTCCAGTTCAACTTTACGCAGTTCAACTTCTTTTTTTCTTCATATCAATATTCGCAAGACGTCTATTCTTTTCATTTACCAAGATTTTCTCATCATCGATTATTTCAACAGTATCTTGAGTTTCATCAAGGTCATCATGCAATCCGACTCCAATACACAATCTCGAGTAGTATCGCCTTTTTTTTTGTTAGTGGCCTGAAGCATGGTACATAATGGAGACTGTCGAAGTTAGCATCGTTGGCGCGTACAAAATGTTCAATTATCATCCAACACTGCAAGAAAGATACAACCCTTTTCATGTACCACTAAAACTGTTGGATTATTTTATCAAACAAATGTCAAATGTTGACGACTCTGTTGGGATCTGTGAGGATCTCGTTATACACAAGTCACGAATTCAATAGCAACAATAAATCTATGTGCAACAGGTCTAGAGGTTTAGAGTTGAATAATTACGGCTTAAAATTCGCAGGCTCTGAGACGTTGTAGATTACCGTTGCAGGAAATCGTCTGATCTCAAAATCCGTTGGGCAGCCGGATCCTTCTCGTCGGACTCGAGAAGTACTTTGAG